TTCCACACTGAGTGCATGTGAATGGTTTCTCTCCAGTGTGGATCCTCATGTGTTCTTTAAGAGATGATGAGCGTCTGAAACTCTTCCCACACTGAGTGCATGAGAATAGTTTCTCTCCAGTGTGGATCCTCATGTGGTGATTAAGGTGAGATGAGCAACTGAAACTCTTCCTACACTGAGTGCATGTGAATGGTTTCTCTCCAGAGTGGATAGTCATGTGTTCATTAAGGGATGATGATTTGCTGAAACTCTTTCCACAGTGAGTGCATGTGAATGGTTTCTCTCCAGTGTGGATCATCATGTGTAGATTAAAGTTTGATGATTGGCTGAAACTCTTTCCACACTGAGTGCATGTGAATGGTTTCTCTCCAGTGTGGATCATGATGTGTCGGTTAAGTTGTGATGATTGTATGAAACTCTTCCCACAGTGAGTGCATGTGAATGGTTTCTCTCCAGTGTGGATCCTCATGTGGTGATTAAGGGATGATGATTGGCTGAAACTCTTCCCACACTGAGTGCATGTGAATGGTTTCTCTCCAGTGTGGATCATCATGTGTTGTTTAAGAAATAATGAGTGTCTAAAACTCTTCCCACACTGAGTGCATGAGAATGGTTTCTCTCCAGTGTGGATCATCATGTGTTTATTAAGGTGAGATGAGCAACTGAAACTCTTCACACACTGGGAGCATGTGAATGGTTTCTCTCCAGCGTGGATCATCATGTGGTAATTAAGGGATGATGATTGCCTAAAACTTTTCCCACACTGAGTGCAAGTGAATGGTTTCTCTCCAGTGTGGATCATCATGTGTTTATTAAGGTATGATGATTGGCTGAAACTCCTCCCACACTGAGTGCATGTGAACGGTTTCTCTCCAGTGTGGATCCTCATGTGAATCTTAAGATCGCCTTTTCTTCCAAATTTCCTTCCACACTGAGTGCAGGTGAAACGATTCTTGTCTCTCCTTTTCAAAATACCATCAGTCTGTAAATGAGTTTTTTCCTCAATTTTGACATGATGTTCCTCATCTTTCCTCCCCTTATTCTCTTCAATTAGGTCTGAAATAAATAAAACATTAGTTTTCATTAAGTCTTAAAACTCTCATCAAAAGCTGAAAAGTGAAAAGACACTGGAAACATTGGCTACACACTGTAATTTTGATGCACATTAAATGTAAAATAAATCAGATCATATTTTGTTCAGTCCATTAACGTGTACACATTTAAGCAGATTCAATTCATGTTCATCTAGTGCTTTTACAATGTAAATTGTGCTGAAGCCACTTAACTTAGAAGTTCTAGTAAATTGAAACTGTGTCAGTCCAGCTTTCAGAGTTTCTCATAAAAGTAATTTTGGTCATATTGATCAGACACAGATTTAAAAGCTGTAAAAAGCCTATATTTATTCATATATATTCAGAATTACAACAAAACGTTTTTTCTAAAATTTGTAAAGCAGACAGGGAATACTTGTTCATTCTGTGCCTGACTGGTAAACGCATCGGAAAAAAAAAGTTCTGAGGTAACAGTTGAACAAACAGCTGAACATTTGTCTCACAAACATGAGACACACCTGTACAGCATCTGCATAAAGGCTGAAATATGCACCTTTCCCTTGTGTGCTGTTGGGTCATTTTCATCCATTCTGGGTTGATTTTGTGGATCAATTTGGTCAACTTTCTGTGTTTTAGCAAATGGATTGATATTTGGAAACATTTCATTTTTACATAATCTAGCATCTAGCATATTATTGTATAGCTATATTCTACTGTAACATGCTACGTCAGTTAGCATTAAATAATAAATCGACTTTCTTATAAATATACCTAAGATGGCTGGAAGTACACATATAAACCATTTATGGGCGCAGTCGTGTAAATGATCAGTTGAAGCCTTTTAATATTTACTCAGATCTTATTTTCATTCAACAGCAATAGCTGGATGCCTTCATCCATATTAGGGATTTCCTGGAATGTTCTGCTACTTTTGTGAGGTATATATGGAATTTCTGCTCAAGTGTAAATGAAACAGGCATTATGCTTTTAAAGTGCTACAATGCCCACATCAACCTATTTTGAGGAAAACTGAAAAAAAAAACATTTTCTACTTATGAAATTATTTTTTTGTACCATTTTTTATACAATTGTTTTTATATCAAAAATAGTAGCCTATTGAACATCAATATATAGCAAGGTAATGAAGTCAGAAATTCCAGTTTCTGGACAACATTACACCTTAGTTAAAAATTCTGTCCAAAAGAACATGCTTGCAGCTTCGTATCACATCGAATAACAACTCACACTATAAAATAAATTATATTTCCAGATTTGAAGACAATTACATTTTCAAAAAACAAACAGAAACTGCAAATCAGGAGGAGATCGGAGGCTCAAGAGGTATGATATGGCTCATAACAGACTAGTAAATGAGAAGTGGGTTAATTTATCATTGTTTTTTTTTTCCTTTTTGATGTTACGAGTTATGCTGGATCTAATCTCACTATATTTGCTAAAAGTGATATTTAATTCATCTTGTTCTCTATATCTAACATAGGGCTGGACAATAATATAAGATCATTATATCACAATAGATTTTTTTTCAATAACGGTGATATGATTTTTAAACCAATTTTCGATATTTCAATACATTTGTGTATATGTTTTATCATATCTATCTATCTATCTATCTATCTATCTATATATATATATATATATATATATATATATATATATATATATATATAGATAGATAGATAGATAGATAGATAGATAGATAGATAGATAGATAGATATGATAAAACATATGTAAAACATATACACAAATGTATTGAAATATCGAAAATTTTTAAGTTCCGATCAGCTTTTTGTTTCGGCGCTCTGCAAACTGTGCGGGAGAGCGATGCCAACTAGCATCGTAAACACATCAAATTGGTTCATAAAAGTTTAAGTCAACCTGTCACCTCACCATCCACCTTCCCGACACCAAACACAGATGGCTATGAGGCGCAGTGTAGGGTTTCGCATGTCTACACTTGAATATACACCTATAAATTTCTCGCATATAAACATATACTATGTTCAAAACAAGTATGACACTTGCACATGTATAAACCTATTGCATGCATACACCCACATACACATGTACAGACATATAAACTCGATCCGATCATAAACTTGATCCTTGGATTAAATTAAACACACACACACACACACAAAACTCTCTGCATGCTGGTATAGCACGCAAGGAAACTTACAAAATAAAATTCACAAACATATGTATCAGGAATCTGGTTATTTCAAAGCTGATGAAAAAGAAAGAATTTGATTAATAGAAGTATTAATTCTGACAGTATGATATCCTAAAATATATTTTCTTCTGAGACACTTTTAAAATATTTTTGAGCAGTAAATATGTCAGGCTAAATAATTTAAATGAATCACAGATTTCTTTACGATTTAAAACAGCCTCTTTGGTTTTTACTGCAGGAGATACTGTTGTCCTAAAAAACAAAACATAAAAAAAACCTAACATATACTGTAGGAACGGTGCAGCAGGAAATGTTGGCGGTTTTAAAACTTTGACTTTTCCAAACTGCGGTAAACCTTGAATATAGTTATTGCCCCATGCCTCAGCAGCATAACACTGATATTTAGGATCTAAAAATTTATTCTTTAAAAAAGTCTCAAGCAAAAAGATTCCAATGGTGCCGCCTGTTGGTGCATGAAGAATATGGTCTATATTCTGAGACTAAAATATTTTATAACTATTAATTATTTTAGTGTCCATTTCATTCAGGATGCTCAATATTGGGGCATCCACATTTTTTGACATACTTTAAACCAGAGTTTCTGCAGGTTTTACAAAGTTAAATTTAAGACTTTATGACATTTTTAAGACCATTTTGAATGAAATTTTAGACTCATAAAGGGCTAAAGGCTAAAGAACTTTTCAAATGGCCCAGATGGAAAAGATTTTTATTTGCCCCATCAATATAAAATTTATTTTTAAAACTAAAAAATTAACAAATGTTTTTAAAGTTTTAAAAACTATAACAAACTAAATCTATGCACAACAATCTGTCCAGGTTGATATCCACAGCAGTAAATACATGGAGCATGTTTAAACAAATGTTATTGTGAGGAAAATAATTAAACCATTATGATAAATAGAGTTAAAAAGACCTTTTTGAATAAAAAGTTGAAAGTTTTATTAAGTTGAATTGTTGGTGATTGAATTGGTTTTGTCCAGATTGGGTAGAAAAACATGAACAAAGGAAAATAAAGAAAAAAATGACACAATACAGCACAATATTTCAGTAAATTTAAGACTTTTTAAGGCCTAAAATGTTAAGTCTTTTATGAGAATACTGTTGGTCAAATATCATCAGCTTAGTTAAACCTTTTATTAATTTATTGTTTTTATTTATTTTATAAAGCACCAAGGATGCTTCGCAAACAGCAAAAGAACAAGAAAGCAATAACCTTAAGAAGGTAGAGAAAATGAGAGACTAATAATACATAAAATAATGACAAAAGACATGAGAACAAGTAACGAAAGAAACTCATTCTGTCTTTTAATGAGTGCTTATGTGCATTTAGGAGAACTAGGCAGCACACATAGAGGTAAAATTGGTTTTATATTAGCAGATTCAGACTTCCCCCTTAATAATATAATTTCATAAAAGTATTATTTGCAAACTCTTAATAGCGAAATCATATTAGCAGCAAATGACTATCAAAGTACAACATTGCTCACGGTCAAATAAACAGTGTTAATGTTGTTTTCAAGCCACACTTGCATGCTAATTCTGATCGAATATTCAAAGTAACATGGTAAACAATATAGAGACAGCTAAATGAACGAATGTGCGAATATAAAACCAACTTTACCTCTAGGCAGCACACTCAGCGCTGCAAGATGGATTTAATTTAGTATTCTTATTATTAAAATATATCTGAATGAGGATCAAATGACTGATTTGGTCTTTAAGAATGAAAACCAACCTGTTTGTTCCTGCAGATCTTCCTGTTTGACTGTGAATGTTTCTTCAATCTTCACATCTTCACTCTCCTCTTTAATTAACGCCATCTTTATAACAGTGTGGAGATCAGTCGCTTCAGCAGGAGTTTTCCTCTGCGTTTAGACACTTTGTCCTGTTTTAAATAAATAAAACAATGAACAAAAACAAAATAACTTCTATTCAACACTTGCTTAAACAGTTTCTTTTAATTATCAAAAACAAATCAGGTAAAACATTTCTTTTAAAATAGAGGTAAAATTGGTTTTATATTCGCTAGGGATATAACGGTATCAGAATTTCATGGTACGGTAATACCTCGGTATGAATGTCACGGTACGGTATTTATTGAATCATTTACAGGAAAAAACAAAACTTATGAAAATACTCCAAAAAAGTGCCAAAAGTGTCAATGACATACAAATTAGCCATCTATCTGTAAGCTTTGAAATAGGAACTTCAATTTTAATAACAAAAAATTATTAAACCATGTAAAAAAATAAAGTTTAAATTTAGTATTGTTGAAAACTCATCACATTCAACATTTAATCACACTCAGCCCATCTACCCAGATGAGAGCTCTGCTAGTCGGACCTCTCATCAAGCATCTCCCGCTGGATCTAATCTCACTATATTTATTAAACGGGATATTTCATTTATCTTGTCTTTATCTAACGACATATTCCCTGACTTTGGGCATTGGAATCTATTACTTGTTCTCAGGTAACGTGTTTTGGCAGAGCGCAAAGATAAGTTAATGATTAATGTAAGCACGTACATTCTGTATATTGACTGATCGCTTGCCTTTATTTCCTATAATGTATAAACTTATTGTATGTTATACTTTTAAAATGGCCATTATCAATTATTAAAACTGATACTCAGCAAAAGAGAGGCTGTGTTTCGTATTTTCACTGAAATTGAAAGGAGGCAGTGTTTTTATCGGCTCCGTTTTGTTATAAATATCCACACAGTGAAGATGACGCTCATCTTATGCAGCACGACGCCTCAACATTTCTGCTGTCTAAGTTGCTAATATTAAAATGAAAATAGGCAGTTCCTTAAATCATGTTTACATTTTATTGTTGAGAAAGTGAAACAACGAAGCCAGGGTGATGTGAATGAAGTTACAAAGTACACTGTTCCCTTTGAAGATTTACCCGTGTCCTCGGTATAATCTGCTTTTCCATATCAAACTGAGAAGAAGAGACTGCAGCCTTGATCAAACTTGCGAAGTCTGAACTTACACGGAGATTATGCAGGACTGAACTGTGCGTGTTAGGCTACTTAATATTCAGGAAAAGCCCCAATCAGAGAGGCGAATGTCTGCAGCCCTGCCTCCGTTTTCAGATGTACATGACAGTTTATAAGTATCACACACCAGACGCGCACATTCGAATGATATTTAACATGAAACTAATCAGATGGCGCTCTGTGGCGCGGCTGAAAAATGAACTGCGTCCTGAGCCGTCGCCGGGCGCCGCCGACTTGCGGCGCCGGTGTGTGTATCCTGATAGAAACCTATGTTTAGAATTCTAAAATACATGGCGCTCGCCGCTTCTGGTGTGCGACCTGCTTTAGAGTTTTCCAGCTCTTTTCATCCCCGCTTCTAGCAGCACACTCCATTTCCGCATTACTGGATCTGTAGCGACAACAGACCGCAAGGGATGATGGTCAAGCATGGGCTGATGGCAATTGTAGTTTTCGCTATCTCCCGTTCGCTTCATTCGCCTGAGCAAATTTTCTCAGAAGACCTATAGTTTTACCGAGTCATGCGACTTCGGTAATATCGAAAAAAATTAATATTGCGGTATGACGGTATTTACAATACCGTTACATCCCTAATATTCGCACATTCTGACTTTCCCCTTAATGATATAATTTCATTAAAGTATTATCTGCAAACTCTAAATAGCGAAATGATAATAGCAGCAAATGACTATCAAAGTACAACATTGTTCACAGTCAAATAAACAGTGTTAATGTTGTTTTCAAGTCACACTTGCATGCTAATTCTGATCAAATATTCAAAGTAACATGGTAAACAATATATAGACTGCTAAATGAACGAATGTGTGAATATAAAACCAACTTTACCTCTTATCAGAAAAGTTTGAGAAACCCTGCTTTAAAACACCTATTACACTCTTTTCGGTTTCAAACAATAGCCCTCGGCTACTGATAATAAAATAGTACTACGTTGTATAAAGGGTTTAAATATTATTGTCAAAAGCACATAACTTAGCATCGGATTAAAAAAAATCTGGAACTTTAATTAAATCGGATTATGTATATGGCATTTCTGTGTGTTTGCCTCGTAAATATATAACATGCTATATCCGTAAACATTTAAAAACACAAACCTTTCTCCAGTTGAATCACAGCGCTAAAGCGGCGCCGCCTGATGACGTCACACGTCACGACAAAATAAAAGTCTTTATTTTGTTTCGCTTTTTTGCCAATTACTGTTCCAGTCATGACTTATTGATACATATCTCCCATGTTTTTTACTTTATACTATTTCTGCTCTCTCTCTCTCTTTCTCTCTCTCTATCTCAAATTCAAAGAGCTTTATTGGCATGACTGTAAAACAAATCACAATGTTGCCAAAGCAATAACAAAATACAGAGCATTCATATAGATAAAAGAAATATAAGTAATAATAAACAAACACATATACATATCGTTATATTATACATATATGTTGTCACAATAAACAAGTTAATAAAAAAAAAGATTAACAATATAATAATAAATGGTAAGGACATAGAGCTTTAATAAGGGATAAGGGGGTTCAGCCTTTTTCTCTCATACGGTGGCATGAGGACACGTACTGTGCTGCTAGGTGGAGACACTTTTCATTTTCTCCCAAAATATAATGGAGTTTCTCCGTATTTGTGGCTTGCTGGAATTGTGGTAGAATCAGAGACATTTGTGTGAAGTAAGCTTCTCTGATGCTCTGATATTTGCTGCAGTGAGTGAGGAAATGCAGCTCATCCTCCACAACTTCAGCAGGGCAGTGTGGACACAGTCTGAGCTCTGGGCTCCTCCAGCTGCGCTTGTGTCGGCCCGTCTCCACACTCAGACTGTGTCCACTCAGACGGTACCGGCTCAGCAGCTTTCTCTGACTGGGGCTCTTAATGTTGGTCAGATACGGGGCCAGTTCATAACTAGGTTTAATCTGGTTGAAGCACGCTAACTTTTTTATTTGTTGTATTTTATTTTGCCAATTGACTTTATATTCCTCCTGGGTAATCTTTTCTATTTCTTTAGTCTTTATATGTTGGGACAGGGTTTGTGAATTTAGTTGGTGTTTTTTCACCAGATAGTGCATGGGGTCGCTGGCCGGATGTGCATTTCTATATATGAGGGCTTGCTGATGGTAGCTCTCTGGGCTGGAGTCTGACAGATGGAGCCAGAACTTCCCTGCTCTCTTCTGGATTTCTGAGAGCAGAGGGAACCTGCCTAGTTCTGCTCTGCAACCAAGGCTGGGTGTGCTTCTGTGAACTCCGAGGATGTTTTTGCAAAACTCCAGATGAAAGATTTCAACTGGAGTTTTTTCCCAAGATTCATAGTTTAATTTAAATGTGGGTCCCCAGAGAGTCTCTCTCTCTCTCTCTCTCTCTCTCTCTCTCTCTCTCTCTCACACACACATTACACATTTTAGGTGCTTTTTTGGCATGACAAATAACTGCATTTGTATTGCCAAAGCAGTGCAGCGTCGCTGTGTACAAACAAGACAGTGAAAAAAGGGCAGTAGTGCAAAAAAATATGGATATAAAATATAATACAGAGAAAACACAGAAATTAATAAAATAAAAATAGATTAATGAAATTAAAAATAAATTAATAAAAATAAAAAGATTAATAAAAAAGATTTAAAAATAGATTAGATTTCTCTCTCTCACACACACAAACACACACTTCAGTATTTAAAGTTGATCAAAAAATTTTTATCTAAACATTTTAAGACAATTTTGAGAAACTTTTTTTTAATCCAGTTCATGATGACTTGCATGTCTACAACACATTACTTCCTATTAATATCTGAGTCCAAATCTCATCCTCATAATTATGACCCCTTATTTTCTTTTCTATTTTTACAACTTCATAGGCCTATATAGGGTTTCTTATTGTTTCATATGAATTGTCGTTTCTTCTAATCTGTTCCACATTTCCTGCCATTCTTTAGCAGTTTCTTCAGTAAAATATTTAATTTACAGAAGCATTAAAGGGGTAGTTCACATAAAAATTACAATTCTGACATTTACTCATCTTCTACTTGTTCCAAACCTGTATGAGTTTCTTCTGCTAAATGGAAATGAAGAAAATAGGGTACAGGGTCAAAAAGCAGCCACTATATGGTTCAACAGCGCCTACTTTGGACATGGTTGCTTTTTTCAACATTTTCTGGCACTCAAAATGTTCTTGGAACTCGATTACAATTGAACCACTAAAGTCACTGTCAAAGTCAATGTTTTTGGTTCCTTTTCTGGATTTTGAGCATCTCGGGACTCTTGCTGTCTATGACAGATGAAGGAGCTCTCTGATTTCATCTAAAGTGTCTTCATTTGCGTTCTGAAGATGACCAAGTTCTCAGGGGATTAAAACAACAGGTAGAGGGACAATCGTTCTCGAGTGCCTAGTGTACACTATAACACACGCATTTCACCACTGCTGATATACAGCCACATTGCACTGCTTTTTTTATTTACTTATTTTTATTGCAATAACAACAGGCCATCACAACAAATAGAAATACAAAAACTGATAGCACTGATACTCGTGATGATATTCCCAGGTAGGAGGCGACGTTCGCGCAACCTTGCACAACGTTCTTTGAAAGTTCCCTAAAGGTAATAAAAATCCAGAACCTTTACAGAACATTAGGGATGTTCTTAAAACGTTCTATTTTAGTCATAAAATAACGTTACCAGTATGACTTAAGGAGGACGTTCTGTTTTGGCCATTCTATGGTTACATAATAACATTACAAAGAGAACCTTTGTAGGGATAGTTTACAGTTTAACCCAAAGAATGACCAGTCTGGTAGATGAAGAAGAGCCGGAGTCAGAGATTTAAAAAAATAAATCAAGTTTACTGAAGATAGTTTGCAGTTTCATTCGGAGAAGCCAGCTTCAACACTCGCAATGAGTTCCTAGGCCGCTCTGCTTACAGTTTCAACAATCAAACAATTATACTCTTTACACAAGTCCAGAAAGGGTGGGATCCAGGTAAACAGTTCTCATTGGTTACAACAGAAATAGACAATTCCAAATACATGCGTCAAAGAAACATAGTATCTACTTCCAGATATGGATGGCCTTAATGTGTGCGTCAAAGAAAGCATTGTATCTGTCTCCAGATATCGATGGCGACCTGATGCCTAGAGGTGAGGTCACCCTAAGTTATTAGGAGCTGATCTCTGACCTGTAAAAAGCTAAACCAGGAAAACAATAGACACAAACGACCATCTGTGTTAAAGACTCAAGGATGTTTCTTGTACGTTCAGCTGTGTTATCAGGCTGATTTAAGACTGTTTCCATCAACAGTCTGCTGCAATATCTTTACTACACACAGTCTGTCTCCACACAAAAAGGAATTACATTAAAATTAATTATACTCAAAAACAGATCAATCAAACAGCTATAATATTATAGGCAATATCAGGACAACTAGAACAGGTGTCTTCTTCTCCTCTGTATTGGACCTCCAGTCATAGGAACAGATGAGGAGAGAGAGATCTCCATGACCTACTGTGTTGTGAGTAATGCGTTACATACGTATGTATTACAGTAATGTATTACATTTTCCTGTAACGCAGTAGTGTAAGGCATTACTAATACATTTTCAGTAATATTTTACTCGGTACATGTTCGGTAACACGTGCGTTACAACACACTTTTTGCCCGCAAGACATTAACAAATTAAAAAACCGCAGTTCTATTTCCTGTTCGTGACTAGAGAATCTATGCGCGTGCTGTCATTAATCTCCCTCTGGCAATGGGACCTTTTTACTTTGAACACGGAATGATTTCAGCTTCTGAGCTCAAGGTTCGGGGCTATTGGCTCAGCCCGGTTCGCAGTACGCGCAGCGGACAAGCGGCAAATAGATGAAAATGGCATAAGACAGTGCATTCGCGAGACGGACATAAGTGCATATGGCGTTATTTCACTGACAAATGTCGTAAGCTCATTCATGTAATACGAGCGAGTGAACGTGCTGGTATCCTCTGTGGACAAAACTCCTCGCGTTCACTCAACACTGGCTGGGCTGCTCACGTGCTAAAGACCTGCTCTCGCTCCATCAGATGATGCAGACTCACAATCTGCCTTGTGTTTCCTCTTCCTTTCGTTTTGTTGCTCTCCAGAGATCCGCCTTTTTAATTGTTATCCCAAGAATTTTATATGGTTTATATATTGCTACACTATTTACCTACAGGTTAAGATAAATTCTATAATAAATACTAGTGTTTTTGAGTGTAAGGTATACTGCCTATGTTTTAGGCTAGTATTTACAATGAATGCTTAAGCATACTGTCAGATTAAGAATAGTGAACTCATAAAATTAAATATAAAGTGTAGTTTTACTACAGTAAAGTGTGGTGAATTGTAGTACAATCTACCCCATATTGTAAAAAAAAAAAAACTACAGCACTGGATCTTTTGTTTATATTACACTTGTTGTTTTACCATAGCAACTATATGGAACAGCTTCTTCTCAAAATGAAGATGATGGCAGGGAAAATGTCCTCCACAATCTGATCAACAATGTGGAAGACAACAGACACTAGTTCACTTTTTTCAGTTGCCATAAAAAATGTGATTAATAATGAGATTTATTTGAAGAGTGAATAGTACAGTAGGCTATAATACCTTATCAAGTGTTTCTATTAGTTAAATTTCTGCTTGCGTTAGTTTTTATTTTTGTCTAATGCTTTTTATTTGAAATATCTCATCATATAACATACAGCCAACAATGTTATGGTTTATTAGATTAAAAATTATAGGTCTATTTTAGTATTTTGGTTATTGTTAATAAATAGTGTACTAATATAATTCATATTAAAAAGCTTGAAACGAAAAGGGAACACAAGACACAAATTGTGAGTTTGCATATAATCTCACTGAGAGAGCAGTGTACTGATAGCACGCAAGAAAACTTGTGCGTGAGCAGTGCATATTTGAGAGATTGTGAGAATTTGTGCGCGAGCAGCGTATGTGAGAGCTCGCAAGCAGTTTTGTCCACAAACAGGAAATCGGTGCACAAACATTAGAAAGAATGAGAAACAGCTGAGAAAACTGTTCATCATGCTCACTTTGTGCAGGACGGTTTTGTGTTGTAAACCACTTGAATGTAAAGTAAATACAATAATGGCAACAATAAGAAAAGAAAGAAATCTGCATTTT